GTAAATTTTAATCTTCTCATATTTCACCATTTCATGTTTTTTTTGTCTTTTAGTAAAATCATGAAAATGTCACATATGTAGTTTCTGCAATAACTAATTATTTTTCTTGAAGTCTGGTGACGACTTCAAGCAATACTAGGTCCCATATTGTTATTTAAACTATCTTATGACACTGTAATATTTTGGAAGTGTGTACAATCCTACAGATATCGAAACAATTATATTTTTTTTAAGTTTATTAATGTATGTGTTTTGATACTTACCATATTTTTTTTTAATTATTATTCTTTGGTGGTGTGGTGACCACATATAAGAGCTATTTATTTGATTCATCTTCATGCTCTGAAAGGCACACTACATAAAATTACAATAATTTTACACTTTTTAGTTTTATATGACACAATATTTGAGTACAAAATCATAAAAAATAACAATTAGAAAAAATCTAATGAGTTGTGTTGCCCGAATGCGAGACCGAAACGGATCTTGGACTTGAAAACTCAGTCTTAGTACGCGTTGAAGTCTCGCAATAGTCTTGCAGTTACCTATTAGCTTTTTACAATAGAGATATTACTGTAATTTTTTAGATAGGAGAAACCTAACTAAGTCTGAATGAAAAATTAGAAAAGTTAAATGCAAAAGTATATTCCTTACACTAATTCCTTACAAACAGTAACTGAAATTGTAAAGTATTAGTAATTATTTTGCCTAAATTTTTATTCAAAAAGTCGATTTTTTTTTTACCAGTCTTGGTCTTGATCTTGCAACAGATAGGCGGTGTTGGTCTTGGTCTTACAAGACCGATTTTGGACAACACTATACATCAGCCTCTTGGCTGTCATCGAAGTAGAGTGTACGGGTTTCTCGTGCCTTTAGGATTTTCTGTCAGAGGATTTATGTATTTATATGTAAAATAAGTATTAGGTGAAAGTTATTATAGTTTTCTTTTGCAGTGTCTAAAATTTTTGGAGTGTTTAAGTCGTTGAGTAATATATCGTTTGCGACATAAAATGGTGTGTCAACTATCCTTCGCAGAATTTCCCCCTTGAAAGACTGCATTTTTTTAATATAAGAAGTTTTAGAAAAAATCCAGAGTTCTATAACATAAATCAAAATTGGCTAAGTAAGAATTTATAGAGGGTTAGTATGTAAATTAAAGATAATTTTGAACGCCTCTCAAGTAACCTAATTGAAACACGGAGCTTGTTATAATGTCGGATTCTTCTTAAATAATTATTTAGAAAATATTTTGCATTAATAAAACTAATTTGATTTTATATAATTTAAGTTATATTGTTTTTTTATGATAGAAAATTATCTCCAAAAAAGTTTACAAAATTTAACTGTAAAACAGAATTTTGTCGCTAGAATTGATCAGAAAATAAATCATCCTTGATTCATGTTTGTTTAACGAATTTAACTATGTTGAATTAATGCAATAATTTAACTTGTTATTAATAACAAATATATTATTACATCGCAATTTATTTAATCGTAAAAATTATTAATTTTCTTTGGGCATAATAATTCATGGTCTTGATAATTATAGATGCTAAAATACTTTCAGATGTATCTGATACAAAAATAATTTCAAAATAAATGTATATATATATATATATATATATATATATATATATATATATATATATATATATGTATTTTTTTTTTTTGACAAATGATTGTCATAAAAAAAAAGAAAAAGAACCAGAAACATTTCTGCTGACAAATTATTGATTTGAATGCTGGAATTGGGGCCAGTGTCTAGCAAACATTGCTAACATTTTCATTGAAGAAACGAAAATATTTCGCAAATTTTGCTGAGTTGCAAATAACGCCTTTCCCACGCCAGTGTCGATTTCCACGATATTGAGGTTTTGTTTCTAGTCCACAATCTACAACCCGCGGAAGGATGAAACTCGAATAGAGTATATTATTGTAGTACCATGTATATGATATTTAGTATTTACCAAAATTCGCTAATTAGCGACCAGGGTTTTGAGTAAAAAAGAAAAACCAATTATATATAATTTGCAATTAATTTTAAAATTTTAATAATCTTAATAACTAGTCCTGTAATTCTTCCCAAAATATTTTTTTTTATTTTATTTTTATTTTTTCCTAAATTATGGAAGACTACCTAAATCGAGCGCTAATCTTATCGATCGAACCCAAAACCGATGGTGAACATTTAATGCTAAGATGAAGAACAATCTAATGAATTCCAGCCAAAGGTAATTACTAATGTAAGGTTGCAATACAAACAAAAATAAAAATAATATATAATGCATTATCTACCCACTGAATTACTAAAATAGATATAGAAAAATATTAAACTGAATAGTTAACTCAAGCCTGAGGTGAGCACCTCAAGCACTATTAGTGGATTACAAAATGGTGTAGTTAAAACTTGTATCAGTTTAAGTGAAAAATGTGTAAAAGATGGCTGGAAAATGGCTTACTAGCCGAAACGTAGCCGATGTAAAAATGAAATAAAGGTGGTGAAGTAAAAACGCAGCCTTACTTTATATTATTAAAAAGAATAAGTATATAAATTAAATTGAAAAATAACGAAACAGGAGTTATAATTAGATTACATACAGTCGTTTCATCAACCCAAAAGCCGATGGAAACGCTAATTCAATCAATGAATAAAAAGGTGAGCCGAATTCCATTGATGGTTTCCATCGATGAATTTGGGAACGATCTGGTGAATATCCGATTCGACTAGAACAGGGTTGCTTCAAGATATTTCACATCTTATATACTTTTTTGATAAAAATTAGTTTTTATAGGTGGTAAAAATAAATATTACGTTTTTAAATTTATTTTTTATATTGCCATAAAAAATTATACTTACCTTATCACACCAAAAATTTCGTTCTAATTTAATTACTGTTCATAATTTTTTGTTTATTATTGAGCAATATAATATGACGATAAGATCATAATATGAATGTTTCAAATTTAAATAAAAGGTTTAGCTATATTTATTCCACTGTTTTTATTTTATTACTTTTTTAAACTGTGCAAACGACTCAACTAGGTCGCGATTTTCAAATCATTTGTAAGATTTAATTAGCAATTATCCTCATACAAAAACGACAGTGATGTTAATTATTATCACCATACATTATATAAATGATACATCTAATGGGATTGAAATTCGAAAAAGATCCGATTTGTTATTATTTGCAAAAGGCACATTTTTTAATAAAGTAATCGATATAATAAACTATAATACCTATCATAAAGATAGAAATAGTATAAAATCAGACTGTGAATAGGACACACATTAAGGAAGCAGGAGAACACAGCTACATAGTCAAAGGACTGGATATTGCACGAGTTATTTTGTGAAAGTTATTTTTAGTGATTTACATTTTTAAATATTATAATTAAATATATAAATCATTCAGTAATGTATAGCGAAACCTCAGAGCTCTGATAAAAATGTAGTGTGTATTGCATTTGTGTTATTTGAATTGTTAATATTAAGGGTGGTGTTAAGCAATGTTATGCGTAATCGTTCTTATAGCTCTACTTGAAAATTCCTTCAAAAAGGAATAATTTTATAAAATTTAACGAAAATGAACTCTTTTCAGCCAAATTGATTGCTAAAATATTTCTATAAAACAATAACGTTAATGTAAATTGAAATAATCCCGTTACCGTTACTCGATGCTAAATCAGTATTTCAAAGTGTCAAAAATTTGAGAAAAAAAGAAACATCAAGTTGGGTGAAAGGAATCCTTTTTCATAGACTTTTTAAAAACTATTCCTTTATGAGGGAACTTTTAAGGGGAATAAGAGGAAAGACTTGTTTTATCAACCTCAGTATCCCCACATATATTATTAAGTAAGGCTCGAAATCGGTTTTGTACCAAATATAAGCTCATGTCATGCTCAAATACCATGAATGGGGTACCGTTGGATTCAGAATTTCACGGGGGGAGAATCGTATTCTCCACTTTTGTTTTTCTTTCTAAAAGAAATAAAGTCAATATAAACATTTTACCAGGCTTCAAAACTGGAACAGTGGTAAGTCTGCAGATCGATACGGGACACATTTTGTTTTGAAGATTTTGATGCATACATCAAGACCCGAATAGTTCCCTTGGAACTATCAGGCTCTGCGCTTTAGGCACAAAAACGTATAATTTTCGAGATAATACAAGGCAAAGAGTTAGCATCCACACAACCTGTCATGTAATACATGTCTTATTTCGTTGACTTGAGATCCCTATGATCGAGAGAGAAGGAGTATTGTTTATCAAAGGTGTATTTTTGTCGGTAAGCCATATCATCATTAATTTTTCATCAAATCCACAAGATTGAGTCACCAATTTTGAAGGTTGGATTCTCCTTCAGGCAGAAAAAAATAGTCGAATCACCCAGAAAATTCAGGCAAAAAAGTTATGAAAGAAAAGAAACTTAGAAGAATAATTAAAAAATTACACACTTTTCCCTTGGTTATGTTCATGATTATATAATAGATTACTAAATTCCCAACAAAAGGAAAAAAAAATCATGAAAATCGGACAATTTTTAGAAATGATACAGTTTACTGAAATTTGTAAACATGTTGGTTGCAAACGAAGATGAAGATTTAAATTATTTTTTGTTTCCTCTGTCGATTATATTTATCGATAAAGGAACGATTGATTTCTTTATCTTTTGATACGTTGCATTATTTTATTTTATTATTAATTTGGAATTTGATAACAATATGCTGTGCGAATTTTTCGCACGGGCCAACTAGTTGATTTAATTATTCTAGTAATATGTTGAGATATAAATTAAAAAAAACAAATTTTATGTAAAATTCTAATGACTCTATATCAGAAGATGCACTAATATAAATTAAAAAATAAAATAAAACACTTACCTTATAACTGTTTTGTTTGGGGGAAAAACCATTCCAGGTTTATCCCTGCCCTCCACCTGCTGGGTTGAGTGGACAAGGAAATGGACGGGAGATCGGTAAGAAAGTGTATCAGATATCAAACAAATAATATAAAACACTTTTATTGATTTAGTAATTACTTTGTATTGATAAAGCCATGTAAGAACACTCGACTGAGACTTGCTCAATACTTAAAAATAGAAAAATATCGGTTTCATTAATATATGGCCTGGCTCACAAATTGAAAGGCATCAATTAGAAACCTACATTTTTATCTTTTTAAAATAAACAGAAAAAAAAGAGAAATGAAATTATGAAAATCGGAAAAAATTAAAAAGAATATGTGTAAACAATTCTAACATTATTGATAGCCCTAGTCACAACATTTATTCAATATGTTACAATCAGTAATGGCTGGAAATGTATCCATGTTATTTTAGAAGTAATACTTATTTTTTTTATTTATTTTTTTTTATTTTTTATTAATCACTATATCACATTTGAGATGGATATGTATGTTTCGGATCCTTGATACAAGTATAAAAAAAAGAAAAGAAATCTACTCTGAAAAAAGGACTAAGAAATGTTAAGAGGCCCCTTCGTATGGGCGTATCCAGTGGTGTTCAACTGTCTACAAGATTTCTGTGAGAGATAAAAATCGAGTCGAAGGTTTCGAAAATGCTTATTTGGTTTGATTCAGACTGGACATGGCTTTTTGGCACTTTTCGAACCCCTCCGACTCGGAAGAACGTGTTTAAGAAAAGGCTAAAGTGAATTGGTTTTCGTTTGACCGAGGCATCTAGCTCCTCCGTCAACTCTGGATACGCTATCGTACGGAAAAACTGTTAAATTTTTACACTTTTAAGACGTTCCATAAGTTTCGAATCCAATATTCTAATCTACTATAACCCATACAAGGGTACTTCTGATAAATATGAGAAAAAAAAAAGTATATATATACATATATAAACTTCAGACTTTTCGAAAATAAATTTACTCAGACTTTTGGAGCGCCTCAAAATGTTGAAAATCGGTAAAAATTTTCAGACAAATATTACAAATACAATATTGAGCATGAAATAAAAAATAAAGAACATTATAGGCTAGAGCTAATAAGTAGTTTTGGAAAATATATTAAGAGAAATTAACAACAGTCCTTAACCCTAGTTATACATTAACAGATCCAACTGTGTCTGCTTCAATGTTTAAACATTTCTTCCCCATAAGATATTTCTATATATATAATAAACAAAAAAAAAATTATAAGCAACATGTTTATTTCTTTCTGGCAGAACATAGGAACGTGATGGCGTTTTCAGTCATTTCCTATGCACAAGTGCAACAAAATAAATTTGTAACAAACAACAAAAATTAAACAAAAACACATTTAATGCACTTTATATTGCCCGGTTTAAAAAACAGTGTATATAAAATGAAATCTCAACTTTTTAAAAATCGAAACACAAACGAGGAAGAAATCACATACCTTAACATTAATTAAACATTTTGGACATGGATATAACATCTAATAAGTATCTAACTTATGCACATTTTTTTTGTATTTTTTTAAAGTTTCTTTTTTTTAATACCAAGAAAACATGGTAATAATTATAATATATATATGTACATACAAATTTCACTTATGAGCTTTCGATTCTTTTAAGTCAATATCTTTTACAAAAACAAGTCTCTCCCAATGATGGGATATAAACCTACCATAAAATAACTAAAATACGTTATATCATTTATATTTAATAAAAAATTTTAATATACATTAAAAACCTACTAGAGTACAAAAATATTAAAACGATAACATCAACTTAATATTGAAACAAAACAAAAAAAAAAAAAAAATTGCCTTTCAGGTATGCATTGGCTGAACACAAAATGTATTTGATTGTTAATTCTAAATATACTTACAAAAATATATGGTACAAAATATTTATACATTTCAATGAGGAATTTATTGACATTTTTTGTCAAAACTTTTCCAGTTTGAAGTCTATTTGAAAAAGTTTTTTTTTCACAAAAATAAACAAAGTTAGTTTTTTTTTTGTATTTTTTTACATCATGGAATATCAAGAGCGTACATTTTAAAGAGAATTGTGAAGTTATTAGAACGGATAAATTTTTTTATACTCGATTTTCGAGTATTTAAAAATACAAAACAAGTAGAAATATAACCTTAAAATAACAATAACAGGCACAAAAGTACTTATCAATGCAAAGTTGAACTATACACATTGATATAATAAATACAAAAGTAAGTTTTCGATCGACAAAAACCATCCAACAACTCATTTAAACAACTATATAATACAATCATACCATGAAATACACCGGCATATATTCATATATTATTTAAACATATGTTTATATATATATATAATATTTTTTTTTTTGTTATTTCGGAAAATGAGGATGAGAAAATAGGACGGGGAACATTTAAAAACACTATTAAATGGAAAAGTCGAACACACGGTATCACATTGTCCTCGAAACCGGCAAGTTTTTGGACCGGAACATTTAATTGCACAATTAATAAAAAAAAAAAAAAATAATTTCAAACATCAACAAATCAAATCGATATCAAGGCTCGATACTCGATCTAAGACATAACTGTTGTATAATTATTCTCTGGAATGATTAAACTGTTAAGGAATGTCCGTCGTCAGCCGGAGGTATCATATTCCTCGGGTTCACACCTCTTCGAGTGTTAACATTTCTGTAAGTTCCATAACGAATATACTACGTACATAAATACAGAGCACGCCATTCGAGGTGCCACGGCAATGTACAAAAATCTAACAATATTCTAAGAAATAACAAGCCAACAACTAGAGTCATCTTCTGCAACACACTTCGTAACTTATCTTTTTCGCTAAAATTCTAAAATTCAAAAGGGTAAATATATATATAATTTTTTTTGTTTAATTTTTTTTTATCATTAAAGATATCGATAGTCAAAATATATATATTCAAAAATTTGGCTGAATCACAGATAGTCGAAAATGTTTTTTTTTTTCCTTCTCAATCAAAAGCTGAAGGCGTCCCGCGAGATAAATTCTAAAATTAATGAGACTCCTTTGCTAAGAGAGAACAGCTTTGGGTGTTGAGGCCATATGTTGCCTGGTGTTGGACCTTGCTCGTCTCCTCCAGTTCTGTCTTACTTTGGTTCAACTATTTTACCGACAAAGAAGGACGCAATATAGATACAAAGCTGAAGCTGCAATATTTTTTTCATTTTATCTTCTTTTTCGTTTTTTAATTAGCTTTTCAACGTAAAGGACAAAAAAGATCATCAATATTTTTTTTTTATAACAAAATAATTTTTTTCATAATATAGTCGAAAACACAGATATACGCTAACAATCCCCAAACATCTCTATGTAAAATGCACAATGAGCACAGCTTAAAGATACACATATTTAAAATTTGGAACATCGAATAATAGATAAATAGAGTTTTTACAAGATAAAATCATCAAATATGTGAATAACATCAAAACACGAATATTACGTATTTAAATATAGATATATGTATATTTACGACATAAATTGTTGATAATATGAGAAAATCCCTTCACAAGTTATATAATCTTTAACGGGCTTCGACATTGAAACGGGCAGTTAGCACTTGATGTAATAAAATATAATCAACAGTGTTATAAAAAGTGTTCAGAATTTCGGTAAAAAATATTGACCACTTGAGAACTATTCGCCCTTCATCGTATCTACAGTTTCAAAGCAATGTAAGAAAAAATAATTACATAACAGAAGGAGTCGTGGATTTGTGTTATTTGCACAAAAATACATCGAAATATTTCACTTTTTTTTAAAAATAAAAATTAGAAACCATGTACTCAACGGTATGTACAAGGGCAAACCAATTCAGCAATCAAATCACTAATAAGACAAAAAGATTTCAATTTGTACAAATTTTTTAAGGACTAGAATTTTTCAAAGCTTTTAAGCTACGAAATTTTGCACAATACATATAAAGAAGCACCAAAGATGGGAGAATATACTCAGTCGTGTGTGGAGTGTGTGACGTCTCAGCAGTTGTTGTTGGGGGACGGTTCCCTGGGAGCGGGCGGTGGGCTGGCCGCCGGCGGTTTGCTGGCCTCTGGCCTGGACAGCTGCTCCATCAGGACCTTCCCCGGCTCCTGCTGCCCCGGAAGGCCCGTGTCCAGGCTCGACCTGATGATCCCATCCAGGAAGCTCCCGTTCTCCGACTCCAGCAGGCTCTCCGCGATCTCCCGCGTGGTCTTGGTGAGAGGCGCGGTAGTGGACAGCTGCTGGGCGAACAGGTCCGGCCGCCCGAACTCCAGGATCGGGGGGAACGGCGGCTGCCAGTAGGGCGGGAAGGGTCCCCGGTAGGCCATGGACGGGTCGAAGAGCTGCATCTTGAGGCCGTTGGAGAGCGGAGGGGTGACCTGCGGCGGCCGAGGCGGGGGTGGGGCGATGACCCGCTTCTCTTCCTCCTTCCTCTTCTCCTCGGGCTGCGGCTTGGGCTCCCGCTTCCTGGGCCGCATGAGGTGCCGCTCCTTGACCTTGTACTCGAGGGTGGAGTGCGGGACCCCGTAGTAGGAGCCCGCTCGGTGGACCGACATCTCGCCGCGCTGCACCGCGCGTACCGCCTCCACCAGGCTGTCCCTGTCGTAGTTCCTGTACTTGCCTCTCTTCGGCCGAGTCCCTTTCCCTCCGGACTGCTGCTTGTTGCCTCCGCCGGGGGAATGCTTCTTCTCTTCGAGGTGATTATTATTGTTTATACTGTTATTGTTATTGTGATTCCTCACTTCTCTCCTGAAGTCGAGGGGTTGGTCCTTGGGTACAGGTACGGGCTCTTCTCCATTCTTGGGTGTCTTGTAGACCGGTACCCGAAGAGGCTCCTCCGAAGAGGTGGAAGCCCCTCCGAGGAGCTGCTGGAGGCAAGGCCAAGACCTCACCTCCGAAGTGAGACGGATGACGTCTTCGACGCTAAGCAGAGGCCGCATTAGCACCTTCTCCGTCTCCCGTTCTTCTTCTGCTCCGGAGTTGTCGTCTTCATCTTCTTCATCTTCGGCTCTCTCCTCTATCCCTGCGATGTCGCGAGGACCTTGTGAGATCTTGTAGACCTTGTTCCTGAGAGTCGAGCGGGGGATCCCGTATATGACAGCAGCCCTCCGGGTGCCCAGTTTGCCGCTTTGGATGTCCCGAAGTGCCGCTTGGAGCTCGTCCTCCGTGTAGCTCCTCCTGGTCCCAACAGCAGTAGGCCGAGGCTTCGCCCTGTCGTCAATACAAACACTACTACAGCACTCTCTACATCTGCTTCTGACCATAACGGTGAAGCATGCAAAATTAATAAACAAGCTAACTAAAAAGACTAAACCTAACTTAATGATATATCTAGTAAACCAACTTAATAAGACAGCAAATAAAAGCAAACTTAGTCTAGCTAAGCCTGGATCAGGAGTACTCACTTAAATATGGCCTTGTTGGGACTGAGCGGCGGCTTGGGGGGCTTGGCGCTGAGGTCTAGCGGCTGGGGCTCCGGCGAGCTGGGCCGCATGTACCATCCGCCGGCCATTGGGCTGCGAGATCCTTCTCGAGTCTGCCGATCAAACCATTATCGTATCAAAACCAACCTTCTTAGTCATAACAAACATAATATTTAATAAATATAATATAAATATATACTTTTTAAAATATTGAACAAAAATACCATATTACGAAAAATCATAATAAATTTCTTCAGAGGTAGTGAATAAAATTTGTTTGCATTCATCGAAGCTTTTATTACTAACCTCTTAAACACAAAAATGTATTTAGTTAAATAAAAATCATAAATAAATTAATTTAAAGTACAAATATCAAAAGACATTTGTAAAAGTTTGCTATTGGAAAATATTTATCTAGAAAAATTGGAAAAAAAATATAACATTATCAGTCAATACTTTTATTCTTCTTTTTTAAAAAAAATATATTCCATATTTATATATTTTGATTTATCTTACATAATAAAATCTTTATTATCTTCTTACAATCTAGCATATATTTTTGTTTTCATATCTTTTTATAGTAGCTTTGTAGTAATTTATGTTTTTGTAATCCTCTTATCTTTCCTCAGCCTTGGTGATGGTCTCAAATTTAGACCAAAACTTCGGCAATAAACGAAATAACCAAAACTTTTTTTTTATCACGTTGCCTGCAACTCCCAACTAAATTTCCAATAGTGTATTTTTTGTCATTTTAAATTAATGTTTTAAGCACTATATTAAGAGAGAATCTTGTTTTTGAAATTTTGACCGAAAGAACACACTCAAGGAAGAGAAAACCATCAAAATCATTAAAGATCACAATAAGTATTTAGACATTAACTTTGAAAATATTACCGAATTAAAACATATAGTATGTTAATTAATTTTACTATTGTACAATACTACAATAATTTTGAAGAATGAAAAAAATGTAATAAAGAAGAACTGAAATTTAGAGGTTGGGTTATAACTTTTCTCAGTTGTGCTACCATTCCTTTGTTTCAGTATGTCTTCGAATGAAATCTACTTTTTATGTCCTGGTGCCTGAATTAGCGAAGTGTTGCAGTATGACTACATTATTAACAATATATAAAAAATAAAAAGAGAAATAATATAATTGGTTATAATAGTAGAGATTCTTAGGTATAATGGAAAATATATAATAATATAACATTACATAACCTTTCAACTAGAGACTTCCACATAAACATAAACTAGTAAGTATCACTAATTTAAATAAGGACATTATTAATCATTAAGGACATTTTTTGATTTACTTTACTTTGATGTCTATATTTTATATAATAGAACTTTATTATTATATTTAAATTTTTAAATTAAATTTTCTTTTAAACGAAATGAAACTAATTAACCCTAACTACAACACACATAGAATATAAATCTCAAAAACTAAAAATAGGGCTTGCATACTGGAAGTGAGGGAAATGTTCAGCATTTTGTCCTCTTTATAATGAGCTATTATTTATAATTTATATTTCATGTCATTAATCTCGTCTTCTTGATGTTTTCACTTCTATCGTGCGGTCTAAAGCACTCACCTCAGTTTTTTTTTTAAGACACAAGGCTTACTGTCTGGTAGTTATGATTTTTCTAATTATAACCTAATATATTTTGTATAATACAATATACAATAAGGATATATAATAAAATAATAAATAACAATTGTATTTACTACCGTGGCGATGAGAGGCGGCTGCCGACTGGCTGTGGCGCAGAGAGGTTCGCTGTTCTTAGTCTCTTGCCCGACCATCACGTCTTGGTAGCTCATCCATGTTCTTCTGCCCATCAATTCCTCCGCCACTCTTTCCAGCCCTGGAAGGAAATAGAAAATAAAAAATGAATTTTCGACAAAGTATATAAGAAATATTCATGTTGTTTAATCTTAAGAAAAAGAAGTTAAAAATAAAGTAAATCTAAATTGACAAGTCTAAAATCAACTTAGTATAAGTTAACTATTCTTAGTGCGAGACCGAGACGAGTCTTAGTCTTGCAAACTCAGTCTTGGTCATGGTCTTGGTCTTGCGCTAGACTCTCACAACAATCTTGGAGTTACTTATTAGCTTATTATTATGGAGATATTACCGTATTTTTTTAGATAGGAGAAAGCTAACTAAGCCCGAATGAAAAATGAGAGGAGTTAAATGCAAAAGTATATTGGTTATACCAATTATTAACATATAGTAACTAAGATTGTCAAGTATTAGTAACTATTTTTCCTTAATTTTTATTTTTAAAAACGATTTTTTTTTTACCAGTCCTAGTCTTGGTCTTGCAAAAGTTAGGCTGCCTTTGTCTTGGTCTTGCAAAGAGCAAGACCAAGCTCGATTTTGGGCAACACTACCCTCCGTGCTATCTGTTCTCGAGAAATTTACGACTACAATAATACCACGTGATCTGGCTAAAGACCTACATGGTTTTTAGTACAAACCGAAAAATAAGAAATACTTTTTTTTTTAATATATTTATTAGAAGGTTCAGATTTTCGGTTCAGAATAAAATAGGCACTCATAAAAACTAGAATCATTTTAATCAAACATTTTAAGATTAATAACAGCAGCGCCCTGGTACGTCAACAACAAAACTTTACACAACAACTTACGACAACCGGACAATTATAATAGTATTATATTATATACTTCTAAACGAAATGGCGACAATTGACATGTCCCTCAGGAGGAGACTGAAAAGGAGCTGGATGGAAGAGGTACAACTACTGGGTACAACTCTTCCTCGTGTCTAACATGTGACTTTCCGAATTCACATCTCATCTACTTATCTTAAAATCAATGGCAGGTGTTTAGATGTGAAGAGAAAAATAATTTAGAAAGTTCTGATATCTAAAAAAAAAGAAGTCATTTATTCAATATAACTTCAGTAAGAGGGGTCAGTAATTTGTCGAAATTCTATCGAGTGCAACAGAAACATATATTTCCTTATTTTAGGTTTATGAATTTTTCATGGTATTCAAAAGTGTAAATGTTCAAAACAGTCGTTATCATTTGATTATCGACACTTTTTTTTCCTTTTCGCCTATCTATCTCGGCGTCAAGTCAAAATAAAATTTTGATTTATAGCTCATTACAAAGAGGATGAAATGATAATAATTTCTCTCGCCTACAGTATGCAGATCCGAATTTAAGTTTTTGAGATATTTCAATCCAAATATCCAACAAAACACATAATCATTTGGTTTAAGATGCTATCGGTTTCCCTTTTTGCCTCTCTAACGCTTTGCTTTGTTTACAAAGATGATTAAATGCTGAAAATTTCCTTACAGTATGCAGGTCCGATTTTTAGTTTATGAGATATTTTGGTTCCAAATGTAAAAACACTTTACTTAGTCAACTCGAGCCAACTTTACCCGAATGAGCGTTACATATCCGAGTATGACGGCTCAATCATTTCCCACGAATAAAATGCAAAACACGCCTAAAGGAGTTTTCGCTTTAAAAAAAGAAGGAATAGGACTTTTCGTGTAAGAAAATAGGTATAATTGGCCTCAGAGTGGACGCTACTACCGCAAGAACATGAGGTGGCAATAAAAGCGATTGACAAAGATAGAGCTGAGAGGAGTCCTTCTTGCAGGTAAGTGGAAGGCGTGCAGGCGAAAAGGGACCGCGGGCACCTTCGGCCACCGTGGGAGCGATCCGATATGAGGTAATGAGAGGACAGTACTCCTAGGCGAAGCACGCCCGCTGGTCCACGCTAGCGATAGTCCTCCCGTCCATGTAATTAACTCGGTACCTCCTCTGTCTCTAGCGTGGTAAATTGTTTTCAGCTCTTTACGTAAGATATGTCTTGAAATATGAGAAGGTTTTTCTTTAAACCTAAACAATAATATGCAATAGCAATGGTACAAGTTGGCCCGTGCTAATAATTTGCATAGTATTTGGACAGTAAATGAATGCCAAGTAATTTATTTCAAGAGAGAGGGCGGAGAATTAATACTAGAGTTAAATGCTCTTCTTACCGGTACTGGAACTCGTAGTCTTCAGGTTGCTATGATACGCGTGTAATGCAAACGCGTTAGCCCGTTCGGCCACACCGCCTCCTCAATATAATCCTACTTCCGCTTAATTTTTAAATTTGGAATGCCTGGAAATAGGAATAATGCGCATCCGACTTCGATGAGCGGACACTCCACTTCATTTTTCATTAGGCTGAGCTGAACAATTTTCTGTATTACATAGATGTTGTTCACGGGTGGAAAGCTGCTCTAGACTCGCTACAGTCCAGTCTGGGAAGAAGAGGACCAACTCTAGGAAGTAAACAAAAGTAGATAAAGTTAATTTATTCACTAATAAAATTGAGTTTTGTAGAACTTTAGATTTACAAAAAAATGTATACAACTTTTTATTTTTTACATTATTTATTTAAATTTACAACTATATTAAACAAATACAACTATTAAATATGAATAAATCAGGAAGAATGACATGAACAGACTTGTGAAGACACTACCCAATGGTATCAATCCCTAAATAGTTTTAAGTAAGACGATTACGAGGCCATCTTCTTTTCAGATGCTTAGAAAGATTATCAGAAATCGAGAAAGAAGCAAGGGTGGAAACAAGTGGAACTGTAGTTTGCCATGAAAGGATAGATGTCTGGGTCGGGGTAAAACAGCGAAATTAAAAAAAAAAAAATATCTTGATACACTCCTTAGGTAAAATAACTAAAACAAACTAAACTATCCAAAGCTAATAGTTTTAAATCTAGAGCGGTTCTTAAAAAGATGTTTTAAAAGCATCGGTTTTTTTATACTTCAGCACAGGAAAATTTTAAATTGTCCTTTAAATAGTGGTATCCCGTAAACAGAGAGGTCCATATAGAGAGGTTTCAATGTAAATTGAATTCACCTTTCTTCATAAACTTTAATTCCAATCCTTTCCCCTGATAGAATTATAGGTTTTGAAGTGACCATGAGACTTTAAGTTGCTATCTGAACTTCATTATCGACTCCGGCTGCCGGAGAATTTAATAGCCTCCACGGCGGTACCATTTCCAGCATTGTAAAGGATGTTTGGAGTGTGGCCATCGGTAAACGCTGGAACAGTCTTCTTCCAGAAGGTACGCAATAGGTCGCCTCTTGCCCAACCATTCTAGCACGTTAGTCACGAACCCAACGGGAGCCAACGACGTGTCTCAAACTAGTCTTTTACATTTTTAACACTTGGCAAAAGTGCAAAGTTGAGTAGTTTTCGAACGAACATTCAGCCGCATCTATGTAATTCCCGCCAACACCTGACAGGATGATATGATCGGCGATCAAGAAGGCAATGAATTGGCTAGCATATATCAGCAGAAGGAATCTCCAGAGTATAAATGTCAGGCAGCAGCTGGAAACTATCTTGGATTTTTTCATAACATTAACTTAACATTTTTTACATAATAATTTCTTAGTGTGCATTAATAATAAAAGTTCACAGAGCGGAATTTACTTGAGATGTAAGTCAAAAATTAAAATATTATATATCATAAGTTGTTAATGTAGTTACCGTTAAACTGCATTAGTTGTGTCATTTCGTTTTCTCGACAAATATAAGATTTTCAACTCGAAACAATACAAGTTTCATAACAACGTTTTAACAGTGCTTAAAATGTCGAGGTTTGTTCCGGTATGCTATAATTCGCGCGCAGCGTTAGTTTTTTCTTACTATTTAAAGAAAATTGCAGCCAAATCGCATTAAATACTCGTAGTAAATCACGTTAGTTATGAAAATCGCGGCATGAAATGTCCTCCTAAAATCTAGTGAAACTTTTAATAAAGAATGTGATCGACAACGAATGCTCGATTTGAATATAGTATTCTATAAAATACGTCCAGGATATAAAAAAAGACTACACAAAGTGATATTAGGCATATTAAAGCATCATAATACACAACATAACCAATGAAGCAAACGATTCAGGCGTTCAATTGGATAATATTAACGTATGCAGGTTAATCACCAGACTTAGCTCCATCTGACTAATATTTACTTGCATCAATGGGGCGCGCACGCACTTGCTCAGCAGCGATTTACTTTTGATAAAACTTAAGAAAACGGCTTGATGATTGATTCGCTATAAAAGAGTTACAGTTTTTATTGGCATGGCATTCATAGATTTCCAGAGAGATGAGAAAAAATGTAACGCATTGAACGTGTATTTATTAACGTGTGTCTACTTTTTCTTAAGATTTGTCTTCGGTACTTCGAAGCGGTCGCATGAGCTCCACCTTTACGACGTGTTAAAGCCGTTTTTCCCTTCTTACCACCGACAATATTTCTTTGCTTGGATCTTACCCATTCCAAACGATCAACACCCTTCTTCCATCTACAGTTCAAACTCGTAGTCCACTCCCAGAAAACAAGATCGCATGTTTCCGACCTTTATACCCCTTCCCATAGAACTAAAACATGCGAACATTTCTTTATTTCCCGAATTCTTTTACTGCCTTCTGAAATTCCTTGCCATCCAATATTTGCCATACCTCTTCCTTGCCCTCATTCAAATACCTTTTTTACCAATTCCTGCTCACGTCCCAAAATGATGCTGTACAATCATGACATAATTTTTTTTAATCGAATTTTGTTTGAAGTAAATGTTTGCTAAAACTGTTTGTTTTCATTTTAAGAATGAAAAAAAAAATCAACGGATAGTGTTTATATTTGTTTTTTTTATTTTTCCTGATTATTATTTATGTTTTTCTTTCATTTCAATTTTTTTTTCTTTGGACCTTCAGTTGTTTATGTATTGTCACTGAAGATATTTCTTAAATTGTTTAATTTTTCTTAATGTAGAAATGGTTATGTTTTTTTTGTTAACAA